GAAGGTCCGAAGACAGCGATGTATATTCCAGAGAGTTAGGTAATTTACCGAACGACCAAAAAGATTTCGGGTAATGAATGGGTGTCCCAGAAATTATGATAATAGCTGTAAATAATTGATCAGCTATAACCGGTTATTTAGCCGCAGCTAGCCGGCTACAAGCGGCTGGCCGGTAATAACCGACCGATAACCGACCGTAATCGACCGACCCCATCCCTAATTTAGACGCCCATGTATAGCGGCATCTAGGTCTTTTTATGTTTATTTGCACAGTTTCCTTTTTCGGGTTTGTATTGTAAATTTCGTGTTTCGTCGATCATCAACAATTATATCAGAAAAAAAATTGATTTGCCGATTGACTAACTATTATTAGTTACTAGTACGTAATTAATGATCTCTGTCATTAATAGCCATATTCTGTTGATTATACTAGTAAGTTATATTTCTTTTCAGGAAATGTTCGTCAGATTATAATAAATATATCTATGGTGTTTGAGCTAAAGAACTTCAATCGATTCTATATATAATTAATAAACGTACTGTATTTATCTTCTATCTAACTCGCATAAATTTTTTCCTATGCAACACATTAAAGAGTTTAAGCTATTCATTCTTTGGATAATAATTTTCATTAGTTTAATACTTCTATCAATAACTTACACTATTAAAGATTCAGAGAATGTAGTATTGGAAGATACGACTGTAATGACTTACACAGAAGATATAGAATATCAAGAATTCAACAAAGTATATGATGAATATGTTGAAAAACATAATAAAATAATTGCAAAACTATTAGAACCATCAGCTGAGCATAATTTAACAGAGCTTCCAAAAGTTGTTGTTGTTCAGCCTGGCATGAGTTCAGGATACGGAAATCGTCTACCTTCAATAGTTTGCGGTTTTATATATTCATTAATTTCTGATAGATTATTTTTTATTAATGGATATAAGAACTTTGAAAATTATTATGAGAAAGATTTCGATCATGACTGGGCAACTGTAGAAAATTTATATAAAGATAGTACTTTTAAATATATACACGATAAAGAAACGTATAATGATTTTCCATTAGTGACAAGAGGAAATTTTAGTAGTAAAGAAATAACTAAATACGAAATTTTAGGAGTCAGCACATTGGATTACCCATGCGCGCCAATAACGTCAAATCCTTATTATATGAAATGGTTTAATAAAGCGATATCCGATTACAGAATTTTTACTGCAGTTAGCTTAAAATTATTAAGGTTGCACCCAAATATTAGCAAACAAGTAGAAAATTTTACAAGCAATAATTTTGGAGATTATAATATAGGAATTCATTTAAGAGAAAATAAGCCACCTTCTGGTATGATACTACCTATAGAACATTATTATTACACA